TCTGGCAGTCAAATGTATGCCTGAGGAGCCGCAGTTTACTTGTGCAGCTATTGAAAGTGCTCAAGCTTGGTCTTGGCATTTGAAGTGGTCTCAGGCGAAAGCCGAATGTTGACAAGGAACCGCCTACACTCCTTGTAAATGTTTCAAGCTTGGACGACGATTATTCATGGCAGTAAGGCGGGAACCCAATTTTGAAAAGGAGCCGCCCTCCATCCAAGAAGCCGTTGCAAGCTGTTCAGGCGAATGCGCGCGGCGCTAAGGCGAGAGCCCGATGTTGAAAAGGTGCAGCCCTCCACACGTGAAGGTGCTACACACTTTCCAGACGAATGCGCGCAGCACTACGGCGAGCGCTCCGTTTTGAAAGGCCTCTCCCCATCCACCCTTGACGTTGCTGCAGCTGTTGTAACGAAAGTGCGTGACTCTACTGCGAGAGCCTCACTTTGACCCCCCCGCCCTTTCCGTCTTTAAAGATTATGCAACCTTTTCTAATGAATGTGCGCGGCGCTAAGGCGAGCGCCCCATTTGGGAAAGGAGGAGCCATTCATATGTGAAGCTGCGACGTGTTTTTCAGATGAATGTGCGCAGCGCTTAGGCGAGAGCCTCGGCGAGAGCTCCGTTTTGAAAGGCCCCTCCCCTCCCTCCTCGAATCTGTTGCAAACTTTGACAACTAATGTGCGCGGCGCGAAGGCGAGAGCCACGGTTTGAAGACCCCCTCTTCCATCTTTGAAGCTGTTGCATTTTTTTCAGACGAACAGTCGGCGCTGAGGCGAGAGCCACGTTTTGAAAACGCCCTCCTCCATCTTTGACACAGTTGCAAGGTTCAAGCTTCAGGGTCGTAAGCGGTGGAGACGTGTCAAGCGGAACGCCCTGCACGCCTTGCCCACATGACTGGAGGTGCGACAGGGAGGCTTTGCTTATAAGGGGAAGGGATGAGGGTGGTGGTGGCTGCCATTGCATGAGAGAAAAAGTCCCGAACATAAGAACACGCGCAACGACCACGACGACGCCGACGACGACGACGGAGGCGAGGCGCGCAGACGATCCGCACCGAAGCACCCTGCAGGTTCGCTCAAACAGCACGTCGTTGAGCGGTGCTGCAGCCTCCCCTGAGCACAGGCCCCCCCCAGAGCATCAGCCAGACAAGTCGGGCTTGCACCCTCGTGCCTTGCTGGACTCCGGGCGCGTTGCGGCACCCTCTCCCCCAACCTCGTCAGGGCCACCGACAGGGGAGAGGGCGGCGGTGGCCGACGCGTCCCCGAGCTGAGAAGAGCTCCAAGCGCCGCGGCGCAGAGAGCCTGGAAGGCAGACAGGAGGACGGACGGAAAGACGGGCGGCCAGGCAGCGTGCAGTGCCCGGCAAGCCAAGGGGGTGGAGACGCATCAAGCGGAGCGTCCTGCACGCCCTGCCAATATGACTGGAGATGCGACAGGGAGGATTGCTTACGTAGAAGGGCAAGGGATGGGGGATGGAGGAGGAGGAGGAGGAGGAGGAGGAGGAGGAGGAGGAGGAGGAGAGAAGGAGGAGGAGGAGGAAGAGGAAGAGGAAGAGGAAGAGGAAGAGGAGGAGAAGGAAGGAGAGATGAGGAAGAGGAGGAGAAAAAGTGGTAGAAGGCCCCAGGGAGGCGAGCGGCGAGCTTACTCTGACGTATGTTGCCTACTCGCTGTCGGCAGCCTGAGCACTCCAGCGCGACCTTGGCTTCAGATCCGCCGTACTTTTCTGGCGATTTCGCAAGTACAGTGGAGACCATGCCAAGAAACACCCTGCTTGCCTCCGGGGTGCCCTGGGTTTCAGGCCTACTTTGCCGTCGCTGCTTCCGCCGTACTTTTGCATAACCGCATGCCGATGATAATAAAGGGACCCCCCCCCTTCAGTGTTTAGAGTTGATTATCGTCGCCCTATACAAAATTCAAATTGGGCGGCGAGCGCTGAGGCCGAACTTCATTATCACCTCGAAACGCGCTATGTTGAGATAGCAACATCAAGCGATGTTGATATAGCAACATCAAGCGAAGCGATCACACTTTTTCAGGATGTGTCAAGCGAAACCAATAATTTTGGGAGGCAGACTCAAACGAAACGAGCAATGTTCTTATTATTCTTCTACTTTCCTCTTCTTCTTTTATATTTCTATCTGTCCTCACGCTCGCCTGAACTTTTTTATCCCTGGGGTTGATTATCCATGGAAAACACGAGCACTTAAAACATCAATTTTCATAAAGCGCTTGTAAATTAAAATTGATAGATTTGGAACTTTGGACTTTTCCTTTCTTCGTCCTCTTCTTATTCTCCTCTTCTTCTTCTTTCTTATTATTATTCTACTGTATTCTTCTTCTTTTATATTTCTCTCTGTCCCCACGCTCGCCTGAACTTTTTTATCTCTGGGGTTGATTATCAATGGAAATTGAGGCACATGAGCTACCCTACACGAGCACTTACAAAAAAAACAATTTTCATGAGAGATAAGCCATTGTTGAAGATATTTCTATGAAAACTAAACGCCAAGGATGTCTCAAAACGTGCTCGGCTTGGTCTCCTCTTGATCATCTCTTACTTCGAGATTATGCTGAGGTCTGCTGGGCTACTTTTATTATCTCTCCCTGAACCCCGAACTTTATTATCCCCTAGTGTTTATTCTCACGGGCATGAGGTTAACTATTCGCCCGATTCTGCTGAGGCGAAGAATTCCCTTCTACGTTTTCGCATCGTTCGGAGTGCATTTCCGACGCAATTGTAAGTCCGATAATCAGCCACAGTTCGGCGGATTCGACGTCGGGAAAGCTAGCGGGCGAGCGTACGGAAGCGCTTCGGGACATAGCTCTTCACCCCTGCGCCCACACCCAAGCCAGATTATCTTCGACGAGGCAGTGACATGTTCTGCCGGGCCCAGCCATGATACAGTCGAGGATATAGTTAAGACACCTCCTCCCGAAAATCTGGGCCAACTTTTCTTAACCAACTTGCCAGAGAGCCGGCCCAGTTTCTTGAGCGTGGTCGCCCCTCCAGCGTCAACACGAGCACTTGACCCAGGCTTGCCTCAAGAAGCTTCGGGGAAGCTGGCCCAGATTTCTCGCATCAAAATCCCAATCTTCTTGTTCACCTGTTCGATTGTAAGTCGCTCCAGGGCCTTCTTGAGGAGAGCTTTCGGAGCGCCCTGGAGCGCCCCAGAGCGGCCGCGGCGCCCCAGAAGTCCTCCAGATCCGCTGGACCTCGGAGATCCCCGCTCTGTCCCGGTCAATTTTTGCCACGGTCTTCGCTCTGCCTTAAACTCGGGCGGATAGTAATGAGGTGTGGCCTAAATGGGGTGAAGAAGATGGCCCTAAAGAGGCCTCTTTCGTCAACCCCCGTTCAGGTCACCCCCCATTCTCGGGGGTTGCGTGGCCCAAGGTGCCCTCAGCATTTCGTTTCATCTTGGAGCTCCTGAGGCGTTCTGGGCCTCGTGAGGGGTGCTCTGGAGGCCGTGGGAGCCTCCTTGAAAATGTTGGGGGCACCTTGGGCCAGGGATATTTCTAGCAACTCCCGACATTACCACCCGCGCGGAAGAGAAGGAGGAGGAGGAGGAGGAGGAAGAGGAGGAGGAAGAGGTGTCAGCGAATGGGGGAGAGGGGGAGAGAGCATGAAGGTGCGGGGCATGCTAAGAGGGGGAGGAGGAGGATGAGGATGAGGAGGAGGAGGAGGAGGAGGAGGAGGAGGAGAAAAAGCTTTATTTCATCTCCACCTCCCGTCATCCCTCATCCCCCCTTGCACGGAAGCGCACATGTGCATTACGTAACGTGCGTGGATTAGCGACGGGTTTCGTTTCTGTAGAGAATCTTGGCGCTCCGTCCCCACTTCAGGCGGCATTGGCCTTATGTTTCGGGTGTTCTCCCCAAACCGTGGATTCCTCTCGCTTCGCGGGGTCCACGTCCTGAATATCTAGAGAATGTGCGTTTGGTCCCTCTTTGGAGTTGGGGCATCTTGGGGCTGCTCGAGGGCTGGTTGTGGGCCTGTGAGGGCGTCTCGGGGGCATCTTCGGCCGTCTTCGGGCGGTCTTGGGCCATCTGGCGCCTCTGGAGGCTGTCTTGGAGGCCTCTCTGGGCCGTCTTGAGCCGTCTGGGGTCTCTCTTGGGGGCCTCTTGGGCCACCTTGGGGCCCTCTTGGGCCGTGCTGGGGCCTCTTGGGGGCTTCTTGGGCCGCCTTGGGGCCCTCTTGGACGCCTCTGGGGCTGTCGTGAGGTGTCCGAAGCCCGAGGTGGCGAGAGCGCTAAAGTCAGTCCCCCTGCTGGGGGAGGAGAAGGAGGAGGAGGAGGAGAAGGAGGAGGAGCAGAAGGAGGATGAGGAGGAGGAGGAGGAGGAGGAGGAGGAGGAGGAGCGAGGAGAAGCGATGAGGGGCGAGGAGGAGCGAGGAGGATGAGGATGATGGTGAGAGTGAGGATGAGGATCATGATGCTGATGATGCTGATGCTGATGCTGATGATCCTGATGATGATGATGCTGATGATGATCACGATGATGATGATCATCCTGATGATGATGATGATGATGATGATGATGCTGATGCTGATGATGATGATGATGATGATGATGATGGTGGTGGTGGTGATGATGATGATGATTATGATGATGATGATGATGATGATGATGATGATGATGATGATGATGATGATGATGATGATGATGGTGATGGTGATGGTGATGGTGATGGTGATGGTGATGATGATGCTGATGATGATGATTATGATGCTGATGATGCTGCTGCTGCTGATGATGATGATGATGAGGAGGATGAGGAGGAGGAGGAGGCGGCGGAGGAGGAGGAGCAGGAGGAGTCATGGAGGCACTGTTGGGCGTCATCTTCAAGCTTTCCCAGGTCCTTGGGATCTGGCGCCCACGCGCCAGATCCATGGATCCGTGATCCACATTGGCGTGCGCCCGACCTTTTTCCTTCTCCTTCTCTTTCTCCTCCTTCTCATCCTCTACGTGTCTTCTCTTCTTGTTCGGGATGTGCTCCACCTCGCGTGTCAGGCATCCACACTGCGTCGAACTCTACGAGGTCTATGCGGACTACAGGCCTCCGCCTCGGACTTGCTTCCTCCTCGCCCTCCCTCGTCTCAGGCGGTGCCTGAGGGAGTCGCCGCTAGGGGGATGGCAACCCCTTCCCGAGGATCGAGTCATTGCTAGGGGGATTGGTCGGCGACATTTTGGCTCACTTTCGGGTCCAAGTTCCTGACACCACAGGAACTCTTAACGACATCGTGAAGGCAGCGTGCACGAACGATCGGAGCACCTCCGAGGAGTCGTTCCGTAATCGAGGGCCTTCCCGCCCCACAGTCTCCCGTCTCCCGTCTCCCTCCTCCTCCTCCTCCTCCTCCTTCTTATGGAACCCTCGTGGTATTACAGGCCGTATATGCACAGATGGCGCGTGCCGCAAGATGTCGGTCTGGCCTGAATGTCCACACTTTCAGGATGGGGACTCCTGTCCACTCCGGGAGCCTCTGGGGCACGGCGTAGGCACCTCAGTTTGGGGGGCCCTGCCTGGGCCCGTCCGGTCCTCTCCCGGGGCTGAACTCCGCAGCCATTTGGCTCAGGTGGCTCTCGAGGGGACCTCCAGGAGACCTGCCGCCCAGCCGCCGCCGGCCCGCGCGCGCGGCCCTGGCCCCCGGGCGCAGACATGTCCCCCTCCCCGTGGGCGGCGGGGCTCTGCGCCGCCCTCCTCGCCGCCGCCTCGCAGCTGTCCGGCTGCGCCGTGGAGAGCTCCCCCGAGGAGCTGCAGGGCGAGACCACGACCAGCGCGGCCCCCAGCACCACCAGCGTTAAGTCGGGCATGCCCCTTCTGCAGGAGGAGTATTCAGATAACGGAAATAGTCTGGGACGATCTTTCGACGATGTTTGATTATCCTAGAATATGTTTTGACTACTTGTCGTCTTTCTTCCAAAGTCAACCTGTAGGAGGACATGCCCGACCTAACACCAGCGCCTTCCTCGGACCCGGGTCGGCCTCGCCGACGCCAGCGCCGACCACCCCTGCGACGGTGCCATCGCCATCAGCTGCTCCGACGCCAGCGCCGACGCCTCCGCCAGTGACTCCGGCGCCATCAGCTGCTCCGACGCCAGCGCCGACGTCTGCGCCCACCACTAGGCAGACTGAGATATCGACAGAGGCGTGGGATCAACTCTTGCTGCTCAACCAGCTGCGGAAGGACGGCTTCACCTGCACGGACGGGACCTACTTTGAGCCCGGGGAGGAGCTGCAGTTGGACTGCCGCTTGTGGAAGGCATCGTACCTGCACTCCAGGGACATGGCCGACCGGGGCTACTTTAGCCACACCACGCTTGGCACTGGCGAGAGTCCGTGGGATCGAGCAAGTGAGCAGGGGATCTTTGCCAACGGCGAGAACATCGCGGCGGGGAGCTCCTCCGCAGAAGGCGCACTGAACCAGTGGAAGAACTCGGACGGCCATTGCAGAAACATGATGAATCCAAACATGAAGCTGGTGGGCGTGGGCTACGCCTTGGGTGACATCAGCTACCGCCATTATTGGACCCAGATGTTCTCGTCCCTCTCGCTCGACCCCAGCGAGGTCGACGTGTCTTGCTACCCTGCCGCCTGATCAGTGGCAGCCGGCACGTGCCTGCACGACGGGTGGAAGGGCGTTGGGGGTGATTCTTGGGGAGGATACTGGAGGCAGCCTCTCAGTTAAGTTGTTTTTTTGCGGTGTGCTTCAATGCCGCAGGCCGTAGTGATCATCAGCGATTCTACAGGCTTACGCCACATCCGCCGACCCCTTGAACCACCCCATGGTCCGCAGCCGACAAATTGGACGGCGCTATCATCACGGGGAGCGCGTGGAGACACGAATGGTCGCGTGATGGACGTCGAATAGGGGCTTGGAAGGTCTTGGGCGGATCTCGGGTCGGGAGGAGGAAAAGGATGAGGAGGAGGAGGAGGTGGTGGAGGAGGAGGTGGGTTGTCTTCGGGTTCTCTTGGAGGCCTCTCGGGCCGTCTTGGGGCGGTCTTGGGGGCCTCTTGGGGCGTCTTGGTTCCATCGTCGGCTACTTGAGCCCCGGCTTCCCCGTTTCGCGCCACCGCCCCATCCCTGACCTCCTATCTCTCGATTCTTTTCGAGACGCGGTCCCCGGAAGCAGTCAGGCTGGAGATCTGGTCCTGGGGGAACGCCCTGGCAGGCCCGGTTCCGATCCGAGCCGATCCGATTTCGATGTGCTGTTCGGATTCCGGTTTTGGTCCGAGTCCGTTCGGGTTTCCCGATTCCGACTTCGATTCCGATTTCGATTTGGGATGTCGATTTCGGATGTCGATGTCGATGCAGAGGGCCCTGCCTGGGATCCAGGACCCGTTTCCCTTAGGACCCGTTTGCTTCGTGCTAAGCTGCGGGGTGCGTCGCAGGCCACGGGCGTCGGCGCACCATCGAAGAAGCAAAAAACGACACAGACATAGCACTTTCGGAGATCCGCGCGGATTTCTTGGATCGGCGTTGGGCCCTCGGGCCGGACGAATGTGTAGGATAGGGAAAAGGGGTTTACGAAATCTGCTGCGTGCAGCTGGTTTCGGCCCTGCCGCCGGGCTCATTCCTCGATACATGGGCCCACAGGTACCTCACTTGCTAAATTAAGCGGTGGCATCTTGTTGAACGCATCAAGTGCTATTATAGCACTTCAAATGCTACTATAGCACTTCAAGTGTTATACGGATACTCAAGTCTTATTATAACACATGAAGTCTTAATATAACACTTGAAGTTCTATTATAACACTTCAAGTCTTATTATATCACTTGAAGTCTCTTTTATAACACTTGAGATACTATTATAATACTTGAAGTAGCATTACAAGCACTTATCGTTGTCATCTTTGAGATAATAATGTTAACGCTGTTGCATTGCATGCGTTTTGCGTTGTATGTTGCGCTTTGCGTTGCGTTCGCATTGTGTTGCATGGGCGTTGCGTTGCATTGCATCGCCCTGGCGCGCAGCATTGCGCTGTGCTTTGTGTTGCAAGCGATTGCATTGCATTGCATCTGCGTGAGCAATGTTCTGACCAGGAGGCGCGTTCTGACCAGGAGGCGCGTTCTGACCAGGGGGCGCGTTCTGACCAGGGGCGCGCGTTCTGACCAGGGGGCGCGTTCTGACCATTGCGGGCGGGCACGTCGTCGGCGTCGTACGTCGACGTCGCGCCCGCAGCCCATGAGGATCGAGTGCGCCCCCCTCGACCGCAGGGGGCGGTCCCTGTGGGTCAGCAGGGGGTGGGCCATGGCCCCGCCGCGGGCGCCCATGACGCCGCCTCGCCGCGGCCGCGCCGCGCCAGCGCCGCGGGCCTCGGCCAGCGGCGCGGCGGCGGCGGGGGCGGCGGCGGCGGCGGCGCTGTTGGCCGACCGTGGAGGCGACCAGGGCGGGAGGAGGGTGGGGGAGGGAGAGGGGCCCCGCCATCTGCACCCCTGGGGTAAGAGAGAGAGGAGAAGATGAGGGATGAGGATGAGGACGAGGATGATAAGGAGGAGGAGGCGAGGAGGAGGAGGAGGAGAAGGATAAGGAAGGAGGAGGAGGAGGAGGAGGAGGAGGGGATATGCGGCGGATGGAGGAGGCGCAGGGGAAGAAGGAAGAGGCGGGGGGCGGGGGAGGCGGATGGCCGAAGGTGGATGATGATGATGATGCTGATGATGATGATGATGATGAGGAGGAGGAGGAGGAGGAGGAGGGGAAGAGGAGGGAGGATATGGGAGGAGTACGATTGGCGATCGACGACCCCCTCCTCCTCCTCCTCCTCCTCCTCCTCCTCCTCCTCCTCGTCGTCATCATCATCATCGTCATCATCATCATCGTCATCGTCATCATCGTCATCGTCATCATCGTCGTCGTTCATTGTCGTCACTCGTCGTCGGGCCGTCTGTAGTTTCGTTCGCCACGAGTGAGTCTGAGTATGAGTGAGTCCGAATGTGAGCGAGTCTGGGTGTGAGAGCTTCCGAGATCGAGATTCTGGACCGTCTGGTCCTGGAACGCCCCACTCGTCGCCTCGGCTGGGCGCTGCTCGAAAATCTGTGGGGATCATCGATGACGTCATCGATGAATCATCGATGACGGCATCGATGACTCATCGACGACGTCGGCGTCACCGCTCGTCGCCGTCGTCGTCCGGTCAGCCATTTTGGCTGGAGAGCCATCGCGCCTTTGCGCGATGGCCGAGTCGCGCGCACGCTGCGGCGACGAGGCCGCCATCCGCGCGGCGCTGGCCCCGCATGTGCGGCTAGGCTGGCTGAGCTACGGCAGCAGGCCGGGCAAGGACCGCTTCGGTCCGGAGTGCATCGAGACCATCCACAGCATGGCGAAGGCACGACGGGCAACGACGACGACAAATGCGACGATGAACGCGACGACGAACGCGGCGACGATGATGACGATGATGACGGCGACGGACGCGACGACGATGACGACGGCGACGAACGCGACGACGATGATGACGACGATGACGACGACGACGAACGCGACGACGATGACGACGACGACGACGACGACGGCGACGACGGCGACCACGACGACGATGGCGACGACCGACGGCGACGACTGACGACGACGACGACGACGACGACGACGACGACGACGACGACGACGACGACGACGACGACGACGACGACGACGACGACGGCGGCGGCGGCGGCGACGGCGGCGGCGGCGACGACGACAACGACGATGACGACGACGACGACGACGACCGACGGCGACCGACGACGACGACGACCGACGGCGACCGACGACGACGACGAACGACCGCCGACGACCGAGACGATGCCCAGGCACTAAGCGCGCTGGAGAAGGTGAGCGCCAATTTGAGCTTCAACGAAGTCCCGCTCAAGCGCGCGATCTACCACATCGCCAAAGAGCTGGACGACTTCGCCGACGCGAAGGACGACGAGATCCACGCGTGGAGCGAGAAGCAGGGCGACATGTTCCACGGGTCTCGCAATAACTGGGACGACGACGACGACGACGGGCGGCGACGGCGACGGCGACGGCGACGCACGACGGCGACGATGGCGACGCCAGTCGGCGACGACGACGACGACGGCGAAGATGGCACGAGGGCGACGACGAGCGACGACAGACGACGACGACGGTCGGCGGCGACGACGACAGACAGCTTCGACGATGACGGCGACGACGACGACGACGGCGACGACGACCGACGGCGACGACTGACGGCGACGACGACGACGACGACGACGACGACCGCGGCGACGGCGACGACGACCGACGACTGTCGACCGACGACGACGACGACCGACGGCCGACGACTGGTCGACGACCGACGACCGACGGCGACGACCGACGACGACGCGACAGCCCAGGCTCCGCAGCATGTTCCGCCACATGTACGACGCGCTGCGCAAGGAGAGCTTCGAGAACAAGGGGCCGCAGTGGCTGCGCACGCTGCGCATCAAGCAGGGGGCCGCCGAGGCGATCGAGCACGGCAGCGCCGCGCCGCTGAGGAGATCGCCTGCGCCGCCGTCCAGCGCAGGGTCGACAGGGCGTCGCGGCCCCCCATCCTCGGCCAGCCTGGCAGGGAGCGCGGCCGTGGAGCTGCCATGCTCGGCAGCGCCAATCAAGAAGGCGAAGTACGATCAGTCGACGGGGACCGCGACGAGGTTCATCCCGAGGAAGAGCTGCAAAGGCCCCCCCATGCCCGATCCGACCGACGACATCTACGAGCCCGAGGGCGCGAGGGGCCACAATTTTCATGATGGCGAAGTGGCCAGACGGCTGGACGTGCGAGCTCGAGGAGCTGACGGTGAGCGCGCGGCGCGGCCAGCAGAAGGCGATATCGAAGGAGGCCAGCACCAGCATTCTCTGGCAGAAGATCGTCGGCGAGACGAAGTACGCGGCGGAGCTGAAGATGCTGGACCCAGGCAACCCTGGCGTCGTGGTGAAGGTCAACGGCAAGCAGAAGTGCCAGCTCGCTTTCAAAGTCGTGGAGAAGACCAAGGCGACCACGCACGCGGCGAAGTGGGCGAAGGAGCTGGCCAAGCGCGAGATCAGCGCGGATGACGCTGGAGCCTGGACGAAGGAGAAGAAGCGCATCCTGGAGGCGGGGCTCGGCATTTCGAGGAAACCAGCAGGCGCGCCGAGGAGGCCGGCCGCGGCGAGCGGCGGCGACTACGACAAGGGTGCGAATGAGGACGAGGAGAAGCATCCTGATGAGGAACCCCAGGAGGACGGCGCCGATGAAGAAGAGGAGGGCGGCGGAGAAGACGAAGAAGAGGACGTTGATGCTGCTGGCGACGGCTCAGAGGAAGAGAGCGAGGAGGAGGCAAACACGGAGGATCCAGAGGTGGACGCCGATGACGAGGGCGAGAGCGCATCGCGCAAGAGGCCTGCAGCATGGCAGATCAGTCACGAGGGCGAGGGCACGGCGAAGAAGAGGCCCGCAGTTGCGCCAGCAGGAGGCCCGAACGAGAACCCAGAGCAGACACCAGAGGAGGATGAGGCCGATGAGACGACGCCGCCCGCGATGAAGAGGCCCGCGGCGAAGAGACCATCGAGCGCGTGCCAGAGACTGGCCGCGGCCGCGGCGCCGACGTCGCGGCAGAGACCAGCGGCGGCAG